CTGGTATTAAAGATTTGACGGTGTCTATTAACCTAGTCTTCTTCGTGGTTCGTTGATGGAGTCTCCAAAGAGATGCGGGTAGGTTTTAGATTCCTGATAATAGAAACCCCTTTTGTTGGTGCTAGCATACCCAAAATAAGATAATGTAAATTCCATAAAATTTTAACTTTCTTGAAAATGAAAATATTTTTCTTATATTAAATATGAAGGGTTTGTTTGGTAAAAGAGGTCAAATTGAACCTTTTGGATTTAAATTTGATGCGAGATTTTGTGGGGTTTGAATCTAGATTCAAATCTTGAGAATCCAAGAGGGACTCGAGTACATAAATCCTTTTATTTATTGAGAATTTTAGGTTATGAACTATCATATTAAGGATTTAAATCTCTTTTAACTTTTTACAAAACAAACGCGAGTTTGAGCCTAAATTTGTGTTCAAACCTTTTAAACCCTACAACCAAATGATTCTGAAATCTCATACAAATTACTCCATACCAAATGACCATTGTGCGCTCGATCCAAAAATATTTCTAGAAGTTGCTTTTTGACTTATAAAGCTAAAAAGGGCTTCTAAAAATTGTACCAAAAGAGGCTCTATACTATCAAATTAGTGTAACCAAATACCATGGTTTATTGTAGTGCCAACTTAAAAATAAATAATGATTACGTATTTAAATTTTTCTATCTTTCTATCGATACCATACTACTTTTCTCCATGATGCAAAACAAAACTTTTCATTAGTTTTTTTTTTCCTCTTTTGTCTTTGTTTTTCTTTTTCTTTTTAATTCTTTATTGCTTTTTCCCTTCTAGCAATTTTCCCTTTTTCTTGTCTTTTCTTTCCCTTCTTTTTTCTTTCTTACCTTTTTTTGTCCAACAATTCTTTTAGAATTAGTTTTTAGAGTTTCACCTCCATGCTTGTTTACGTCATTTCGTTTCAGTTACTTTTTCTTTTCTTTTCTTTCTTTTGTCTTCGTTCTCATTTTCTTTCCATTTATATGTTATTTCTTTCATATTTTCATTGTGCAATCTTATATTTTCATTTTAAATTTTGCATCATTAAAATACATCTTTTATGAAATTTGATATGTATATCATCAAATAATTTTTCTTAAATGTATGACTGTCCAAAATTTTTTTTTGCAGGCAAACTTTTTTTCTTAAATTTGGTCCTAGTTACTATTTTGTCTAATTTTCCTAATGAAATAATCTCTTCTAAAATATGTGCTGCTACCCAGACAATTTTTTATTTCACTCTCAACTACTCTTTTCCATATGCACTCAATAAGTAATTAATGTGTAATTTATCATAATAAAAACCTTTTCTTTTTTTGCTTATAGATGCACTCTACTTAAATAGTTTTTTTGTTAATAAATTAAACTCTTAAGGAGTCGTTAGTCATAATAAAATCCTTTTTTTTCTTTTAGACACGCTTTACTTAGATATTTTTTTTGTTATTGAATTAAACTGTTAAGAATAATGAATCAAAAAAGGAACCTAAACTTTTTAAAAAAATTTAGTCTCATTTATTTCACTGATTCGAATTTAGAATTTGAGTTTTGTTATAATAAAAAACTCTAAAAACAGTCACATTTAACTTTTTTGTTACAGTAAAAAACTCTTACATAAAGTCATATCTCAACTCAAACTAAACAGGTTCTTTAATTTTTTTTTTATCTAAAATGTTAATGAATTAAATATATGCACACTTACCAATAATAACTAAAGTACACTTTTAAATTCAAGTTTCCAACTCAAATCGTAAAAAGAGCATGCTCGTAGTACAGTGAACACAATATGCAACTAGTTATGACTATCAGTTTCTAATGCATCGCAAACAAGTGGAAATCATTTTTACTTGGATAGACCGTAGATCGGATGTTTTTCTCTTCTTTCAACTTGGAAAATAAATTAAGGATACGCGTAGAGTAATATTTGAGCTTTATCTTTCACAAGAGAACAAAATAGAAGGGTGATCCTATAAAAGATAAAGCAAATTTTAATAAATAATAAAAAAAAAGACAAAACCTTAAAAGAATTTGTTTTTCTTATTTTTATTTTATGTACAGCACACAATCTGCAATCTCCACCATACATTTAAAAAAGATCGACCCGCATATCAACAAGACATTACACCCAAACACCCATATGGATTGATGCAATCCACGTGGCCCAATGACAGGAAACATGCAAGCAACGTTAGCCAATAATAATCCACATTCAGATTCACCCAATATCTCCCACACCCTTTGCACACACTTCGTACATCTTCTTACCTTCCTCTGCCACTTCTTTTATTCCTTTCATAACCAAATCCATCACAAACCCAAATCTTCCCACCCCCCAAAAAAAAAAAAAAAAAAAAAAAAAAAATGGCTGCCAACACCTTAATGAGCTGCGGCATCGCCACCGCCTTCCCGTCCGTCCTCTCCTCCTCCAAGTCGAAATTCGCCACTTCTGGCCAGCTCCCTGGTGTTGGTGTCAATGCCTCATCTAGGTTCACTATGTCCGCCGATTGGATGCCCGGCCAGCCTAGGCCTCCTTACCTTGACGGCTCAGCTCCAGGGTAACATTTCAATTCACACCAAAGAAAAAAATATATATATAATAACTAGTTTATTTCACTGATTCTAATTTAAAATTTAAGTTTTAATTACATTTAATTTTTTTATTAAAATAAATTTTTTTTACATAAAGTTATATCTCAACTCAAATTAAAAATTTAAATCAACGAACTAACAAGTCATATATAATAGCCGGATTACGTAATAAATCGTTTTGTAACTGTTTTACCGAGTCAATAATACTAACATGTTTTGTTTTGCGTTGGTTTTCAGTGACTTTGGGTTTGACCCACTCAGGCTAGGTGAAGTGCCTGAGAACTTGGAGAGGTTCAAGGAATCTGAGCTGATCCACTGCAGATGGGCCATGCTTGCTGTTGTAAGTCTCCCTTCTGACGTTTCACTTGCTTGAAGCCTTGAACACCTAAGAATTTTGTTTAATTGTGTAATTAATTTTTTTTTTATTTCAATAATTTTGCAGCCAGGGATTTTGGTACCAGAGGCCTTGGGCTTAGGCAACTGGGTAAAGGCCCAAGAATGGGCAGCAGTTCCAGGAGGGCAAGCCACATACTTGGGTAACCCAGTTCCATGGGGAACTTTGCCCACCATCTTGGTCATTGAATTCCTCTCCATTGCCTTCGTAGAGCACCAAAGGAGCATGGAAAAGGACCCGGAAAAGAAGAAGTACCCTGGTGGGGCTTTTGACCCATTGGGCTACTCTAAGGACCCAGAGAAGTTCAAGGAATACAAAGTCAAGGAGATCAAAAACGGTCAGTACCCATATTCTTAAAAATGTCATTTTCTACCCTTACTCACTTATTTAGTTAGAGATTTCTACGGTAAAATATGAAAAATGCACTATCCGTAGCGCTATATTTTCAGCCATCGTTAAATCTGTATAAAAAACTATTGTTGTACCTACTTTTAATATAAGACCCCACTTTAAAAAGACCGTTTGTTTTGCTAAACTGATCATGTGTGTATGTATATATGTATATATAGGTCGGCTGGCATTGTTGGCATTTGTTGGGTTCGTTGTTCAGCAATCGGCATACCCTGGCACCGGACCATTGGAGAACTTGGCTACTCACTTGGCTGACCCGTGGCACAACAACATTGGGGACATCATTATCCCCAGATCGATTTTGCCTTGAGTTCTTGGGGAAACAAAAGAGACAAAAAAAAGTTGGTTCATTTTGTTACACCCACTGTAAAATTCCATGTACCAATATGTAATATTGAATCAAAAATTTATTTTGTGGACTGGATATTCAGATAGTAAGGATCTCTATATGGTGACCTTCATTTTAATTAGAAAAAAAGTATTGAGCTAATTTGTCAATGTATATTAGCTTAGCTTTATAGATCATTAGGTTAAGACTATAATTCACTAAAAGCTATCTTAAGCAGTTCTTAATGATTCATGCATTTTATACACATTTATGAGATTATCGTATAATTAGGGATTGATATCAATGAATCAATTATTATTATTAATACGTTATATGCGATGAATCAATTATTTAGAAGGTTCAAATGTTGGTCAATAGACAAGCAAGCGCGCCCTTTTTTTTTTTTGGGTTGCTAAAGAGAAGCATGCATATAATGCTGCTGGTTAACTTCTCAGCCAATTTATAGAATATTCATCAATCATGCCGACAATAACATAAGACAATATCTCTAACTATTATTCTTTGGAAAGAAAATCATAAAATGAATGCCAAAATATTAACAAAAGAAAGATTAATTCATATCCTGGAATCAAACAAATCCACATTTAAAGTTAGCAAGCAAAAAATCCAAATTTTGATGAAGTTACAGAGCTTGCATTTATAATATTCTGTATGTACATATGTGTCACACACACAGTCTATGAATATTGGAATTTAATTTCCAAAGGAGAGTGGAATCACGTTCCAAACTATCAAAATTAGCCAGATTAGGATATCTAAAAACAAATTGCAGAAAGAAAATCTTGAGACAATCAAAAACTGTCCTAGAATGAGACATATTTTCTCGGATCTTTTAGCTTCCGGCTGCTTCAAAACTGAAACGCATCGTGTAGAGAAAGTAAAAACGCATCAACCTCAAACGACAATAACATGACACTAACAGCTTATTAGCTAAACACTGTTACTAAAAGACCTTAGTACATTTATATGTATTTTTGTATATACTAATTTTTAGAGCGCGTTATGCTACAAATTGTTTTAACTTATTTTGGTACAAAACGTGTTAAAATGCGTTAGAGTACAATGACCCGAAGCTTATTTGATTCGGCCGGAAAAATTCGTCGGTACGACATATGTGATGAAGCTTTAATTATGAAAATTTAACTTATTTTGTTGTGTTTTAAATTAGATTTATTTTGTTTTGTTTGCTATTTGTTTTTACTTAATTCAGTGTGGTTTTATTTTATTTTAGCTTATATTGTATAATTTTATTTTTTATTCAAATTATTTATAGTATTTTTATCTGAGTAGCATCAATATTAGTGCAAATCGATATTAAAATGGACAAAATTGTAAACCAAATCACTTCAAAATAAATAAATAATAATAAAAACAAATTTCTATTTTTTTGGGTCGTCTGATCATAAAGACGAACGGTCAAGAATAGCACGTGCATCCCACACTCGGGCAGAGTGGAGGAACAGAGACAGGCCATGTCAAAAAAAATAAATAATAAGAAAAAAAATAAGAACGAGAAAAAATGGATGATAAAAAATGAAAAGAGAGAGAGAGAGGAAAGGGGATTTAAAAAAAAAATTAGACAAAGATGTGTATGAAAAAAATTTAGTTTAATAGGAAAATAGAGAGAATATATTTATGAGGGTCACAATTAGAGAAAGCGAAAAAAAAAAAGAAGAATAATGTATAATAAGACAAGAGTGAGGGAAAACAAAAAAAAAAGGAAAAAAAAAAAAAAGAAGCGTTCTGCAGGCCAGAGATCTTTTAAGACAATCACAATGTTACTCATCTTCACATGGCTAAAACCTTTTAGCAAAAAAAAAAAAAAAACAAAAACAAAAAATCCTTACATTTTTTGGGTATGCTTGCAAAAAATGGGCTCATAAAATGACAAGAAAAAGTAAAAGGTTGTCAAAAAGCTCCCGGCCCATGTAGTGGGGCGCCCAGGGGCCGGGATGGATAAAAAAGTTACATTTTTATTTATGTTTTACATTCTAAAATTAATATACGATTTTTAAGAATTAATGCAACAAGCAGTATAATTTTTTGATGAATATTCTATTTTTTATAATTTTCTTTATTTTTCATCTTTGAAAAATAAAATAAAATAAAACCAACATCAAAAAATTATGAAATATTGTAGACACGATCCTTACATTTTTCTGGACATGCCTGCAAAAAATGGCCTGAAAAAATGACAAAAAAGTAAAACGCTATCAAAAAGCCTCTGGCTCGTGTAGTGGGGCGCCTAGGGGCCGGGTTGGGTAAAAAATTTACATTTTTACTTATGTTTTGCATTCTAAAATTAATATATGATTTTTAAGAATTAATGCAACATGCGGTACCACTTTTTGATGAATATTTTATTTTTTATGATTTTCTTTATTTTTTGTCTTTGAAAAATAAAATAAAATAAAACCGACGTAAAAAAATTATGAAATTTTATAGACATGATTGCAAAAAATGGCCAAAAAAATGACGAAAAAAGTAAAAGGCTGTCAAAACGCCCCCAACCCGCGTAGTGGCCCCTAGGGGCCGGGGTGGGTAAAAACTTATATTTTTATTTATATTTTGTATTCTAAAATTAATGTATGATTTTTAAGAATTAATGCAACAAGCGGCACCATTTTTTGATGAATATTCTGTTTTTTTTATGATTTTCTTTATTTTTCATCTTTGAAAAATAAAATAAAATAAAAATGAGGTCAAAAAATTATGAAATATTGCAGACATGATCCTTCAATTTTTTTCGGTATGCCTGCAAAAAATGGCCTCAAAAAATGACAAAAAAGTAATACGCTTTCAAAAAGCCCTGGGCCTGCGTAGTGGGGTGCCCAGGGGCCGGGATGAGTAAAAAATTTTGCATTTTTACTTATCTTTTCCATTGTAAAATTAATATAAGGATTTTAGGAATTAATGCAATAAGCGACAACATTTTTTGTTGAATATTCTATTTTTTATGATTTTCTTTATTTTTTGTATTTAAAAAATAAAATAAAATAAAAATGACGTAGAAAAACTAAGAAAGTTTGCAAACACGATACTTAAATTTTTATAGGCATGCACGTAAAAAGGGCCTAAAAATGACAAAAAAATAAAAAGCCACCGGCCCGCGTAGTGCGGCGCCTGGGAGGCGGGATGGGTGAAAAATTTACATTTTTAATTATGTTTTACATTCTAAAATTAATATATAATTTTTAGGAATTAATGTAACAAGTGACACAATTGTTTGATGAATATTCTATTTTTATGATTTTCTATATTTTTCGTCTTTAAAAAATAAGATAAAATAAAAATGACTTCAAAAAATTATGAAATTTTGCAGACACTATCCTTACATTTTTCTAGGCGTGTCTACAAAAAATGGCCTCAAAAAATGATAAATAAAATAAAAACACTATCACAAAGTCCCCGGCCCGTAGAGTGGGGCGCCCAGGGGACGGAATGGGTAAAAAATTTACATATTTATTTATATTTTGCATTCTAAAGTTAATATATGATTTTTATGAATTACTACAACAAGAAGCACCATTTTTTATGAATATTCTATTTTTATGATATTCTTTATTTTTCACCTTTGAAAAATAAAATAAAATATGAATGACGTCAAAAAATTATGAAATTTTGTAGACACGATCCTTACATTTTTTAGGCATGCGTGCAAAAATTAACCTATAAAAATGACAAAAAAAGTAAAATGCTGTCAAAAAAATCCCCGGCCCGTGTAATGGGGCGCCCAAGGGTCGGGATGGGTCAAAAATTTACATTTTTCTTTATCGTTTGCATTCAAAAATTAATATATGATTTTTATGAATTAATGCAACAAGCGGCACCATTTTTTTATGAATATTCTATTTTTTGTGCTTTTCTTTATTTTTCATCTATAAAAATAAAATCAAATAAAAATGACGTGAAAAAACTATGAAACTTGGTAGACAGGATTCTTAAATTTTTATAGGCATGCGCGTAAAAAATGGCCTCAAAAAATGACAAAAAAAGTAAAACGCCACCCAAAAGCCACCAGCCCGTGTAGTGCGGTGGCCAGGGGGCGGGATATGTCAAAAATTTACATTTCTATTTATGTTTTACATTCTAAAATTAATATACTATTTTTATGAATTAATGCAATAAGAGGCACCATTTTTTGATGAATATTTCTTTATTTTTCATCATTAAAAATGAAATAAAATAAAAATGAAGTCAAAAAATTATGAAATTTATAGACACGATCCTTATATTTTTATGGGCATCCCAGTAAAAAATGGCCTTAAAAATGACAAGAAAAAGTAAAAGGCTGTCAAAAAGCTCCCAGCCCACGTAACGGGGCACCCAAGGGCCGAGATGGTTCAAAAATTTACATTTTTCTCCATGTTTTGCATTAAAAAATTAATATACGATTTTTAGAAATTAATACAACAAGCGGCACCATTTTTTGATGAATATTTCTTTATTTTTCATCGTTGAAAAATAAAATAAAATAAAAATGACGTCAAAAAATTATGAAATTTATAGATACGATCCTAACATTTTTCTGGGCATCCCTACAAAAAATAGCCTCAAAAAATGACAAGAAAAAGTAAAAGGCTGTCAAAAAGCTCCCGGCCCACGTAGTGGGGCGCCCAGGGGCCGGGATGGGTCAAAAATTTTCCTTTTTCATTCTCTTTTCCATTGTAAAATTAATATAAGATTTTTAGTAATTAATGCTACAAGCGGCACCATTTTTTGTTGAATATTCTATTTTTTACGATTTTTTTTATTTTTTATATTTAAAAAATAAAATAAAATAAAAATGACATCGAAAACCTATGAAATTTTGTAGACACGATCGTTAAATTATTCTAAGCATGCACATAAAAGCTCACCTCAAAAAATGGCAAAAAAAGTAAAACGCCGTCAAAAAGCCACCGGCCCTCGTAGTGCCGCGCCCAGGGGGCGGGTTGGGTCAAAAATTTACATTTTTATTTATGTTTTACATTCTAAATAATTATACAATTTTTAGGAATTAATGCAATAAGCGGCACGATTATTTGATGAATATTCTATTTTTTATGCTTTTCTTTATTTTTCGTCTTTGAAAAATAAAATAAAATAAAAACGATGTCAAAAAATTATGAAATTTTGCAGACACGATCATTACATTTTTC